AGAGCGTCTCACTTCCGTTACCCCAGATTGCTACGGACATTGAGGAAAGGGGCTGAACACGTGGACTCATCACGACCAGAGCAGTTTTCTGTTTCTTAGAGATTTTTGCACATGCGCTCACTGGAGACACAGAGACAGAGTGCCCGTGCTGTGCAGAGCGGCTCACGCACAGGTTAGCAGGGATGGGTGCTCGCACAGCTTGGAGGGCCAGCACTCTGGCCGCCACCTTCACCCGCGTCCAGCACACGTGACGTTCTTACCAGCCTCCGCCACTGTGGACAGTGCCGTGTGCAGAGGCCGAAAGCCAGGCCGCAGTCTGTCCCTGGCCCAAAGCTACCCCGTCTCTTTAGCCCGTACCGCGCCTTCGCCCAGGTCCAAGCCATTAGTCACAAGAGCATGCAAATGTGTCCGGGCTTCTCTGCACACAAACCGGGAAAGCCGTGCACCCCGTCCCATCAGGGGTCACCAGCACCTCCATGCCGCCATCCCGAGGGAGACCCGCCTGTGGACACCTGGTCGGTGCGGTGGGCAGGGGCCCGTGAGGTGACACGGAACTTGCACAGAGAAGAGGGTGACACCTTTGGGACACGGTCTCTGTGTGGGCCCAGGACCCAGAACTGGACTCAAAAGTGACAAAACAGCACGGTCAGATTCAAGCTAATCCCAGGAGACTGGACTGGACTGAAACCAAAGTAGGCTTATCGGGAAAACGCGTCATGTCACACCTAACGCCGCGCAGTAGAGCGAGAGGTGGGGGCCGGCCGCAAGATGGTAAAATTCTTCAGAGAGTTTGAGTCTGCTCCATCTTTCTGCATTAAAAATAACCTTCGAAAACATCTCCCTACAAAACTCTGCCATTCTGTTTGGGAGGCTGGAAGAGGGACAACAGGCGTTCGGAGGTCGCAGGTGGGAGACTCAGCGTTCTCTGTCTTACGAGGGTTATTATGTGTCTCGTGATAATTAGGCAGAATTGAGTGGAGAGCTGTGCTTCACACCCTCCCTAATTACACCACTTGGAGCAAATTAAAATGAATCCAACTGTTTCTTACCTTGTCAAAAGCAATATTGAGGACAGGAATAATTAATTTTCAAATAAAATGGATTTCTGCAGCTTTCATGTGAGTTGAATGCAAATTATAACCCAAAATAGAATGTGCTATAACTTTTCTATCAAAAATGTCATTCTTAAGACATTTGGGGGAAATAAAATATGCCTGTATTTTTAATTGTCTTGGGCTCCTGTATACTATAAATTTAAATGATACATGAATACTCAATGTGTAACAGAAAAACTACAGGTAAAAAGCTTCTTTAACTTAACATTTTCCATGACATTAGACCTACTCAAAAAAATGAATGTTCATTGTATAAAATCCATATTTATAAAAATATGTATTAAATGGTCATCATTTAGATTATATGATATTTTGTTTTATAAAGTGATTATCAAGAAAATTCTACTGCATAATTAATATGTAATCTGGTTTATTTAAATTTAACTGATATCATTTTAAAGTAAGAAACTGGTTTTTCTTTAAATAATGTATATCTCTTTTGGCTTACTGCTCAGTCACAGAGATAATCAAATAACGCAAAATCTTAATTGGTCATTTTTAGGAATATGTGTTAATACTGAACTCTAGAAGCATTGAAAATCATTCAGAATTTGGGCTTTTCTTCTGGATATGTAGTTCAGACAAATCACCCCTAACTCACTCCTGCATTTACATTGGGTCATCTCTTGCCCATCTCCCTCAACAATTTTTCTAAGATGTGGCTAATCTTTTTCTCGTGCCCCGACTTCACTCCACCCAGCCTACCTACTCTGCTTCATGCCCTGCACCCTCCTTTTCTCTCTGAGTCTCTGAGAGGAAGTTCCCTCCCCCACAGAAGCATTACCCCCCCTTTCCCCAGCCTCCTCCTTCAAACACTGCCTGGAAGTGACGGGCAAGAAAAGGAAAACCGGGCAAATCCAAACACAATCCCCGTTCATACCATTTACTAGTTGCTTGAGTGCGGGCAGTTTCGGAATTCTGGATGTCCACCTTCTCCTCAGTTCATGGAGATGATGACGCATACCTGGTCAAGGCACTGCGGGGCCAGGGTGTGCAGCTAACCCTCACCCGCCAGCACTTGGCAGGCACTGAGGACAACCACACTCAGAAGAGCCAACACAGCTGGCGAGACAGAGCTGGAGGGCTAGCATGACCCAGGCCCAGGACACCACTTAGAGTGACCGTGACCAAGACAGCGTGGTCAGCTGAATGTACAGACAAACGGCCAATGGAACGGAGCCAGCCCAGAGACAAACCAACAAACAGGTCAGCTAATGTCCAACCAAGGAGCAAAGGCAACACAGCAGACTGAAGAGTCTTTTCATCAAATGGTGCTGGAACAGCTGGACATCCACATGTTTAAACATCCTTCAGACTCGGGCCTTATACCCTTTAAAGAAGTGTATTTGAAATAGCTCACATTTCTGAATGTAAAGCACAAAACTGTGAAACTCTTAGAAGATAGTATTGAAAAAAATCTAGAACCTGGGTTTAGCCGTGACTTTTTAGATATTGGGCTGTCAAGAAAGTCATAGAAAAACATGTCACGACTTCCCCAACAACCTATTAAAATATCAAAGGCATGATTGAGGAAAGAAGAAATTGGACTTCATTAAATTATAACTTTCTGCTCTGTGAAAGACAATGGCAAAAGAATGTTAAAAAGCATAGATCATAAGAAACTATTTGCAAATGACACATGTGATAAAGGACTGTTATCCTAAATATGCGAAGAACTAATAAAAAATAGCAATAAGAAAATAAACCTGATTTTAAAATTGGCCAAAGACATAGACACCTTGCCAAAGAAACTACACAGACCGCAAGTGAGTGCGTGAGATGCTCCACACGTGTCTCCAGACTGAGACTGAAGCACCAGTGAGACACCACTACACATCTAACAGACGGCCAGCTCCAGAATGCCCACAGCAGCAGATGCTGGCAAGAAATAGCGCAGCTCCTTTTGCCACTAGTGGAAATGAAAAATAGTACAGCCACCTTCCAAGTCAGCCAGGAAGCCTCTTACAAAATTAAACACGCTCACCATGAGATCCAGCAACTGTGCTCCTCGGTATTTACCCAAAAAAGTGGAGGACTTGTCTATGCAAAAACATGCACACAGCCGTGTAAGGTAGCTTTCTTTGTAACTGTCAAAACTTGAGGACAATCGAGGTGCTCTTCGGGGTAAATGGTAGTACG